TTAGATAGCAGAGCTCAGTCACCCTCTAAAATCTGTATTGTCCCCACATGACAGTCGCCAGATAGAAACCAATGGAGACCGAGACTCTTCTCTGGTACCTGAGCATTACAGCCGCTAGTGCCAGCCGTTCTGTCCGCTGCAGCGGCGTGAGCTTTGTAACTGGGAGCGGAAATGGACCATAAAAAGGCAAAGATTGTAAACATCAATATGGCAAAAAGAGCAGGAGTCCTTGTGGCACCTTAGAGACTAACACATTTATTTGGGCCTAAGCGTTGATAGTCTCTACGGTGCCCCAAGGACGCCTCGTTCTTTTGGCGGATCCAGACTAACATGGCTGCCCCTCTGAAACCTGTCAATATGGCAATCACACAAGGTCAGAAGGGGCGCACGAAGCAGGACAGGAGAGCAGCAGAGAGCACCAAATAAGGCCTTTTCTACCCCAGAATATTACCCCGGTTTAACTAACAGTGTGATTTTAAATAGATGTAGTTAAACCAGAGCAAAAACCTGTATGGACACACTTATTCTGGTTTGGCTTAAGACAAGCAACAATTAGTTTAAACTAAACTGAAACACGCCACTCTAAACCCAGCTAAGAATGTCCAAACAGGGGGGTTTGCATCAGTTTAACTAAACTGATTTCAAAACCAATTTAAATTAGGGCTTGTCTACATGGAAACTGGCACCAAAGTAACGACAGGGGCTGTAATTCACACCTTTCATTATTTCAGTGCAAGTCTGTGCGTCAACACTTAGTTCAGTAACTATTTGACTGACAAATTATATCAGTCTCCTCAGGCTAGAGCAAAATAAAGGAGGGGGGGCATTACTTTGAAAATATTCACGTCATTCTTTCAGTTCCAGTTTTCAGAGAGGCAAAAAGCCTTTAACCCGGTACAACTGCCTCCCATCGACAGGGCTTAGCACCCAGGGCGCCAGCGACAACGGAGCATAGGAAAGGCTGGATCCAGCCGGGTAAGAACTCGCCTGAAGGGAGGCGAGCGGGAGGAGATTCCTGCGTGATGCTATGGCCCTATCGCACCCAGTAGAATGGCGAGAGAGACAGGGACAGTGGGCAGGCACAGCCGTCACGGAAGCACAGGGGGAGCGGGGGTGTATTTGTACTTTAAAAAAAAATAAAATTCTGTTTCTCTGGGTTCCTACTCTTGTGACCCTCTTGAAGCACGAGCTGACCCCTCTCTAGCAACACAGGCACTGCTCCTTTCAATCCCTAGGTTTACACAGAAAGAAACCCATAAAACAAGGGGTTCCCCAAGCCCCTCGCCTCCCCAACAAGCCCCCTGAACCTCATCTGGCTCCCTGCTTTTAGAAACAAACATCCCATGTTAATTCAATTGCTCTTGCCTCTTCCAGGTCCGGTCCAGTGGGAGATTTCTCAGCTCTGCAGATCCTTCTCATTTCTCCGATGCTGCTGCCCTTACATCCGAAAGAGTCTTTGAGCCCACAGTGCTCCTGACCTTAACAAGATCAGATACGGTAGCCCACCTCAGAGCCCAATTATGGTGTATCCCAATTCTGGCCCTAATTCTGCAGGCTGCTTCGAAATCGGTTGTTCAAGAACATATTTCACTTCTAAAATTACTCAGAAATTGCAGAGAGATTCAGAAAAATCCCCCACAAAATGGTGTGGGGCCCATAGCCAGAGAGCTATCTGAAGCTGTTTCAGAGTAGTAGCCGTGTTAGTCTGTATCAGCAAAAAGACCAGGAGAACTTCTGAGGAGACAAACACATTTATTTGAGCTGTGTCACTCTGGTCCATTTCCTCATTCCAAAGTAGGTTTGTTTAGGTGTAGAAAAGTAGCATGGTCCATATCAGCATCAGAGAAACAAACGGCAAAGGGGCCAACAACTGATAAGCCTCCCATCGCGTGGCACATAAGAACATTAAAGGCCAGAATAAGCCATACAGGCTTTTCTAAACTCACAGAAATGCAGCTTTGCATGTGCACGCCAATGGCTTGCCCACTTTGACAGGAGAGCTCTAACCTGCATGCAAATGAAGGCCTCTGAATCGGATGCTGGCGCATGGGGTAGCTCCCACGGTGCAAGCGACACATGCACCTCAGCTCCAGCGCGGCCCTCCAGCCATGCTGATGTGATGCTACTTGCAACCACTGGCAAAGTTTCCAGGAGCCTACGGCCATTTTGTAATTAAGCAAGACTTGATCGTCTCTGCCATAATGCTAGCTGATGTCTAGCTTGGACACATAGCAAGGCGAAAGCCAAAGCCTCGTGGGCTGTACGTTAATTAGCACTGCTGTAGAATCCAAAGTGCCCTATTGCATTGTTACGATAGGTATTTAGAAATATACGTTTGATGTTTTACTAATGATGATTCTCCTCTGTTACGCTCCAGTGTAACCCCATTGCTACCAACCAGTGTAGCGCAAGAGAGAACCAGACCAAGAACATATCTAAAAATCCTTACCCTAAATCCTTTTCTACACTTCAGGCTAGAAGAGACCTCAAGAGGTCATCTAGCCCAGCCCGCTGCTCTCAGGCAGGATTAAGTAAACTGAGACCAGCCCTGGTAGATGTTTGTCAAACCTGCTCTTAAATGCCTCCAGTGATGGGGATTCCACTTACCTGCTCCAGAGCTTAACTAGCCCTAGAGTTGGAAACAATTTCCCAATACCTGCCATACCTTTTCCTGATTGCTTCGTGTCCTATCCCCAGACATGGAGAACAAAGATCTCCATCCTCTTTGTAACAAACATTTATGTTTGAAGACTTGTGTCCTCCCTCCGTTTTCTCTTCTCTAGACTAAACATGCCCAGTTCTTCCAACCTTTCCTCACAGCTCATGTTTTCTAATTTCATATTCTCCCTGCTCTCCTCTGGACTCACTCTAACTTGTCCATACCGTTCTTAAAGGGTGGTGCCCCAAACTGGACACGGTTCTTTAGCTGAGGCCTCCCCAGTGCCAAGTAGAGCAGAACAATTACCTGCCGTGTCTTACATCCGACACTCGCATTAATACATCCCAGTGTGACATTTATCTTCTTTGCAACAGCATCACATTGACGACTCATATTCAATTTGTGATCCACTGTAATCCCCAGATCCTTTTCAGCTATACGACCACCTAGCCAGTTAGTCCCTATATATAGTTGTCAGGGCCGGCTCCAGGCACCAGCGCAGCAAGCAGGTGCTTGGGGCATCCAATGGAAAGGGGCGACACATCTGGGTCTTCAGCAGCAGGTCCCTCGGTCCCTCTCCGAGGGAAGGGCCGGCCGCCGAATTGCCGCCGAAGAATGAAGCAGCGCGGTAGAGCAGCTGCCGAAGTGCTGCCAATCGCGGCTTTTTTTTCCCCTCTCTCTCTTCGCCGCGCTTGGGGCAGCAAAAAAGCTGGAGCCGGCCCTGATAGTTGTGCCTTTGATATTTCCTTTCTAAATGTCATATTTTGTGCTTGTCTTTATTGAATTTCATCTTATTGATTTCAGACCAATTCTCCAATTTATCAAGGTCATTTTGAATTCTAATCCTGTCCTCCAAAGTGCTTGCAACCCCTCCCAGCATAGTGTCATCTGCAAATTTTATAAGTGTAGCCTCCACTCCATCATCCAAGTCGTTAATGAAAATATTGACTAGTCCTGGAGCCAGGACAGACCCCTGTTGGACCTCACTTACTATGCCCGCCCAGTTTCATAGGGGGGAGGGATCGCTCAGTGGTTTGAGCATTGGCCTACTAAACCCAGGGTTGTGAGCTCAGTGCTTGAGGAGGCCACTTAGGGATTTGGGGATTTAGTTCAGGATTGGCCCTGCTTTGAGCAGGGGGTTGGACTAGATGACCTCCTGAGGTCCCTTCCAGCCCTGAGATTCTATGATTCTATAGTAAACCATTAAGAATTATTCAGAGTATGGTTTTGCAATCAGTTGCACACCCACCGTAGAGTAATTGCATACAAGCCACATATCCTTAGTTTGCGTATGAGAACATCCTGTGAGTGTGTGTCAAAAGCCTCACTGAAGACCAGACTGTGGGGGAGGGAGCAGTTGGTGTGATCTATCTACGAGGCTGGTTACCCTGTCAAAAAGGGAAATTAGGTTAGTTTGGTGTGATTTGTTCTTGGACAAATCCATGTTGGCTGGTCCTTATAACCCAGTTGTCCCCTAGTCCTTACCAATCGGTTATTTCATCATTTTTTCCAGCATCTTCCCACATACTGAAGTTAGGCTGACTGATCTAGAGTTCCTCTGATTCTCCTTTTCCCCCTTTTTAATGATGGGGTCTATTGTTCGCCTTTCTCCCGTCCTCTGGGACCCCCACCGCTCCCCCATGAGTTCAGAAGAGACTCGCTAACGGTTCTGAGATTGCTTCAACTAGTTCCTTAAGTGCCCGCGAGTGAACGTTCTCTGAATTTCTCCAATTTACGGTAACTTCCTTCCCCCTTTTGTGTAGCCAAGAACAGACTCCGGTCTCACCAACACTGCCAAGGTCTGATTCTCCTCTCACTTCCCGGGTGTAACTCCACTGGCTTTGGTGAGGTTAGTGCCAATGGACACTCGTGTGAGAGGAGAATCGGGCCCCCAGGTTCATTTTAACCAGTCGGGTCTCTTGTTTTTAAAACAAAATGTGCCGAGTTCAATTCCCTTTTCACAATGGTGGAGTCCAGGACATGTTAGTCTGTGCAGGCATAGAACTTGGTGTGCATGAGTCCCCCTCCAGTGGAGAAGAATGGCATAGCCATTCTCTAGTAGTCTCCCTTACTCTCTTTCAGATTTTAGAAACCAGCACTCTCTTGGTGGCCTTTGCAATGCAGTGTCCTCCTGATTCTTGGTCCTGGATTAACATTTGGTCAGGTAGAGACACAAGCTACTACATTGTTACAGATCGGGAGGAAGTGTCTTCTTATGGGAGTTTTCTGGTGAGCAACTTCTCAAAGATCTGTGTGTTAATTACCAAAAGTGAACTCAATCTGCAGTGGGGAACTGAACACAGGGAGGTCTCTGGGAAACAGACAAGAGAAGCACAATGTGGAGTGTTGAAAAAGTAGAAATGTTTATTAAAAGAGTTACAAAAAGTGAAACACACCCCTGCCTACCCATAATCCACTGCTTGGCACAGGAAACTCTCCTGACCTCGAGACGGTGAAATTTACTTAACCATCACTTGTTCATTATACTAAATCTACTGTGTTTTCCCATGTAAAACTCAGAATCACCTGGGACACTATCCCGCCAGGGACCAGGTTTTCAGAGAGTTTAGCCATTCAGCTACATACCTAACCTCACCTGCAGTACACAAACGCTGCTAATTCATCTCGTTATTGGCGTGCACTGTTCTTAGCTGGCGTTTGACCGTGCAATCCTAGTACTTACACGTGCAAATTAGGCCTAAACTACCTGAAAATCTGACTCAGTCTTGAATCAAGCTAGAAAAAGAAATAGGATGATATCAGTCTAGACGTTTCATTCTTGTGGGTCTTTCTGGCTCTCTTTCTGCTGTCAGCGCTGTCACCACAAAGCCCTCGGCCTGCTTTGCGCTTTCCAGGCTCACACACGCACCACAACCAGGCCCTGAGGAAGTTCCAAAAGTGACAAGTTTAACTTACTTTCTTACCCCAAAGGATGGGTCATTTCATTAAGTCTGTTCCTTTATCGGCTATGGGGCTGTCGGGGTCTGGAGTGTTCCTGGAAGCTCCTGGTAAAAATTCTGGCCCCAAACTTAAAGGAAGGCTGTGGAGCAATTTCCCTGCCTCTGCTGGAGACGCCCCTCTCTGGGTCCTGATCAATAATCCCTGCTGGAGGTCAATTATTTTAGGGTCTCATAAAAATGTATCAGGAGCGTAACTTCCCCACCCACTCCTCCTCCATTACAAGTGAAACACTGAGCCGGGCTCTCCAGAACGCTGTCAAAAGCACAAACGCCTCCAACACAGTGCAGCTGAGTGCATCTGTGATTGCCACCTCCCCTGGGAGGCAGCCTCATCGTTCTCAGCCGACAAGAAAGGACAGATCCTTGGGGCAGTTCCAGCAGGAGAGGGGCACCTTTGTGACAGCCCCTTGCTAACGCATTGGCAGCACACCCGAGCCTGTCCTTCGCTAAAGAAATCAACGATTGCAGCAAGGAGGGACGAGAGGCTGCGATATGCAAAGATGTGACACCAATGAGGCAAGGGGCAACCGTGGAATCATCGTGGTTTGGGGGCACAACTGTGCATGGGCGTTGCACCAGTATAGGGAGGGTAATGGTGCAAAGACTCCCCCCACCCTTGTGCATCCCATGTATGGATGTGTCACAAGTCAGTCCCTGTGCTCCAGCAGAGGCAGTCTGTGCACCCTTCCTGCACAAAGCTGGTCCCTGAGGTACAATTCCTACAACCCCAGCCAGTGCCTTTAAAGGCGCAGTGTTCTCCCAGAGAAGAAGTGTCCCTGACTCTAAAGGGAGGGAACTTGGTGCAGCACAGACAACGTATCTGACTCTACAAAAGGCAAACTCCCTGGCCAGCGACAAACTTCAGGGGTGAGCTGCTCCAAGCACACAGACGGGAGAGGCGGCAGCAGGGCAGATGGAAATAGCCCTTCTGAATTCCTACCTCCACAATCTGAACAGCGTTAATCAGCTTAATGCCCAGCACGTTCGGCAGTGGGAGTCCGACAGCCAGAGCCTCTGGAAGAGACAACAAGTAGGTTTATTTCACCCAGCTGGTGAAGCTGACCAGTTCCATGCACCTGCTGAATTTTCACCCTAGACATGAGTTTACCCATCAGACTAGCACCGGGAAGGCTGCGGGCACCGGAGCTAAGTCTCATCAAATACAAACAATGCCTGAAACTTTGCAAAGCATCTGTTTTCATTTCGGAGGTTCTTTACTGTTAATGGTTACAAGGGCCACCAGCATCTTAGCCGGGGCCAGGTGCCTTAGGAATAGAGGGCTAGGTAACGGCTTCTAGCCACAGCTCTGGGGCTTTCGCCACCCCCCGGGCAGCACTGAGAGGCCAGTCACTAGCTGTGCTGAAGAAGGAGTAACATTTGACTCCCCTTCAAGAGGTGCAGCAGACTCCCTCTCATTCACTCAGCCAGCCAGTCCTGCTAGCTGCAAATCTGGGAGTTGGGGGGGAACCCTGGCTCCCCCTCTGCCCCCTCCCATTCTGGTGAGAGGCTCCCCTGGGGAATAGGAGGGGGCACATCTTTGGAGTAGCCCATCCACTTCCCCAGGCATAGGAGCTGCAGCTCTGGGCCCCTGTATGCAGGCTGCTCAAGGAAAAGGGGGGTGCAGGGGAATTCTCTCCCCACCTGGGCAGCTGCCTAAACAGGGGAAACCCAAAATTATCTAGCCCAAAATTATCACCATCACCAATAAAGCTTTAGCAAGACAACTGACAATTTGTCTCCCAGGGCTCCGAAGCAGCTGCCGGCAAGCTGCAGGTTTGGTTCCAGCCCCACTTCAACAATTCAAAAAGCACCTAAATGTCAGGGTGACTTTAAGAAGCCGGCAGAGATTTACCATCAAAGCAGCAGAGACATTTGCTTTGGGACGTCCCTGGCCAATTTGAACTCTGAAGATAGCCCCGAGCTGGCCTTACCATTGATGAGCGGCACAAAAGTTTCCACCAAAAGTTTATTGATCAACGTCCCGAGACCAGAGACCTGAAACAGAGCAGAGTGATCCAGCGAGCTGCTGGCCAGCATGTGACAGCCAGGCACGCGCTTTAACATGGGTAATGCAGGCTGGAATTCCGCTGGCCCTGCAGCATGGGAGCAGCCTAATGCTTCATCTCCTACCAACGCAGCTTATGGAGAGCAAACATTGCCCGTTTTCTTCGCCAAACCCTGGCATCCTCACTCAGATTTCATGCCCTCTTTTCTGAGGCAAAGCTCCCACTCAGTCAATGGAAGCTTTGGCTGAATCTGGAGTGAGGACTTTAGGGTTTGACCCTGTGTCACCCGATGGAGGCAGAAGGAGAATGACATAACAGAAGAACAACTTCAAGCTACGAACTGTGGCAGCTGGTGATTAAGAAAGTCAGCCAGCTGAGGCCATGACCACAGGCGGGAGAAAGCAACCTTTGTACCAACAGCAGCCTCCAGTGCTACACATCTCTGCTTGTCTCCTCTCCCCACAGACATGCGGCGTAGCAGCTGTTGGTTCTGACCGGGGGTGTTTTAGATATTTCTGGAAAAACGAACTTACGCTAACGATGCCGACGTCTGAAGATTCCAAGACTAGATCCGCACTGGGGAAAAGAACACAAGTGGTACCTCGTCAGCCAGCAAATCGTCTGATTTGATCTTTTATCTTCCAGAGACAAAATGGTTGGGTGAATATCTTTGGAGCAGTCACACACCCAGAGTACAGCGAGAAACACACACGCATACGAAATACAGTCACACGTACACAGATATTTCAGCTTTTAAACCCTGAGCCAGATTTTTCATACACGGATTCCTGACTTCCAACCCCTATGTCCATAATCAAGCCCCTAACAAATAACTGCCTGGATTTCCTGGGCACCTGTAGCCCCTCGTCAAGTCCCTGGGCACTGCGCGTGCTCAGCACTGCTGAAAGCAGGCCAGTCCAAGGAAGTGCACTGTTGTTGTGTACATGGTTCCCCGTTCCCTCTTCTGCAGACAGTGCTGCCGAGACGCACAAACAGCGAGACCGGATACCTGGTCAGGGATACGCTGAGCAGCAGCTTGTCTCCAGCAACAGAGGCCTGGGCATTTAAAACAAGGTCCTGCAAAGAGAGAGAGTCCGTTTGAAGAGTTGGTTCCAACTCCACTTGCGATTGGTTCAGTCAGCTGGGTGCAGACTGTACCAGTTTGAACTCTGGACAGCCATACTTACCGCCTTCAGGGCAAGGAGCGTCTGGATGGTTCCATCCGAATATTTCGTGAACACCTGAATCGTGACCGAGAGCTTGACAGTGGCTTTGTTTGCTTCCAGAGTGATGAGTGGGGGTCCAAGCGCTGTTATTTTAATGTTCAGAGGAGATACCACAGAGCAGTTGGGACACTGTAGGGATCAGAGACACAGGGCTAGGCGTGAACTGAACTGGATATTGCCCTCTATTAACACAAGCCAGCTGGAACATGATGGGTTAGCGCCCAGGGCCTCGCAGTTCATAACTAGACCCCCCACCCAGCTCAGAATCCCAGTGAGAGGTCAGGGCGATTTCCAAACCTTGCAGGGATCCTGGGTTTGAATTTCCTGCACCTTGCAGAGCGAATACAAGTTCTTCAGCAGGCTGCAGGGAGCTTTTGGGAAATACGAATGAATCCTATTCAGGGCAGCTGCCAGGCTTTAGTCTCTCAATACCAGACACTCAGTGTGGCCAGAGAAGGGGGGAGTTGACCTCCCTGCAGGGTGACTGCCTGCCCACTGACTCCGCTACCCCCGCCCCATTCCTGTCCTGTCACTCTGCCCATCCCTGTGAGGTGCCTTAGATTGGGTAGCACCGGTCACCTCTCCCTGCTCTTGAAAGCACCCATGGAGGGAAGTGATTGCAGATCCTTCTGGAAGGGGCTGGGGGCAGTGAGGGCCCTGTGGCAGAAAGCCCGCCCTGAGGGATATCAGAGTGGGGCGAGCCACCCAGGGGCGAGGGTGCAGAGCCAGACCAGGAGGCGGGGGCTGCATAATGGTGAGCAGCTGTTTGTGCTGGCGAATGCAGGCTGGTAGGGGAGGATGTTTCCCCGTTTGCTCAGGGCAGCAGAGACCCTATGGCCAACCCCACTGTAAGAGAAGACTGGCTGCAATGCCAGTCCCTCACAGGAGGGCAGTGCCTTGAGTACAGGCGGCAGATGAACCACTGCCCTCCTCCCAGAGACAGCAGGACTGGAGGGAAAGGAAGAAAGTCTGTTTGTGGCCTGCTGTGCCCCTCACACCTCCTGGCAGCAGGGCTGTAGGGAGAGGAGCCGGGACCATTTCAGCTTGAATTAGCCACGAGGTACATACTGCATGGCTGAGAGCAGGAGGCATAAAGATCCCAGGGTGCTAGCATCAGCAGAGCTGACCCGGCATGCTAGGGCTCACCATAATGGCTAGTGCAGAGAGCCGATGGTGTTTACACGCGCACACCGTGTAATGCGACACGAATACATCACTCACCCCAGCAGGAATCAGAGCCACGATGGCGTCCATCAGCTGGGTGGCACCAGAGAACTGGGGAAACAGAACAACATTCAGCTGAAAACGCCAAGCTCGGGGGTTACGTGATTTAAATGGCAGATTTCACCCTCTCAGCAGTAACCCATTTGTTTCCCAGAGCCACTTTGCACTTTCCAGCCAGTTTGCTCACAGCCTCTTGCCCAGTCCGGAAGTCCTAGCTCTGCAACATTGCCACGGACTGCGCGGAAGTTTGGGACACGCGAGGAATGCTGGTCGCACTCCTACATGCTCACAGCTCCCCGGCCAGAGTTAACGTCTCTGCTATTTCAATACTTTCCAAGCTGTTAAGCACGTCTCAGTGAGTTAGGGCAGGTGAATTAGGAACTGCCCAGAGCATCAGGAGATGCAACCAATGCTCCAAACAGGCGCCCATATATTTCCTTTAGCCCGGATGGAAATACCCCGGCACTCAGTACTCACCACGTCCAATGTAGAAATAAACGTCTGTGGCTGGATCTGGACGAGGAGGGACAGCGCGGCATTGAGGAAAGCCTGGCTCAGCCCCAGGTTCAGAACATTGCCCTGCAGGGCAGGCAGGGCCACGGGGACGGCGCTGCCAGGGAGGGAGATGTTACCTCCTCCCACCTGATGGATCACGGTCTGGAAAGGGAGATGGGACCGAGTGAAACCATCACCTTCAAACAAGGAGAGTCACCTGCAACTGCGAGTCCGAGCGAGGCTGCTGCTGGGCTTACCCCTTTCCTATTGGTCATCCACTCTTGTTCTTATTTAAGAACATTTTGTTCTCTCAACAGTTCTCTTTACATTTAACAAAACGTCAGTTTGCTAAACTCTACGATGCATAATGAAGGTTTCCCTGTTTTATTAAGTAGGCCCGAAACCAACCCCTTAGCTCACTGCTGTGTTCCACCCCATGGATTTCACTGCTTGGCAAATGAAAGGGTTTGGATACGGAGAGCTGATGGGTGGAACTGGCTGTTTCCTGCCACGCTGCGTGCACTCAAAGGCTGAACCACCGCGACATTCACTAGGCACGTTTTCATTCACACATGCCTGGGACATAACTAATCCTAACTCCAATACCTGTGTATTGACATGCAATAGTTACCAGTCATAATTATCTTTGCAGTAATCAGGAAAGGTTTGTCAATGATTTGCAAAGAGAAAAGCAAAGGGCTTGATCCAAACTCCATTGACTTCAATGGGCTTCGGATCATGTCCTAAACGTGCGACTAGTATTTTAATAGCAATGAGGCCAGCTGTACTCTAGGGTTATGCTGTGCAGGACATTCCTCATTTATATGAGCTGTATCGATGTCCCTGAAGGCAAACAGACAGATTCCCCCTAAGAACAGTGATCAGAATAAACGCCATAAAACAGCACAATGCAGTCGCAGGGTTTTGTTATCCAAAGTCAACACTTACATTTAAATCCAGTCCGACATGCAGCTCAGTTATCAGTGGAAGGCTGGCTAACTGATACTGGATCTTTCCTACGGCACCAAGTGGGACCAGCGCTGCACGGAAACAGAGTCCGTCACATCAAGAGCAAACAACAAGCCAACCAGCCCCTTTGCTTCCCAATGTGCTCTGGGCTCAATGCCGAGACTGTTACTCATGCTGAGTAGCAAAGGGCATTGGCTTTGGTGGGACTGTTTCATAGAAGAAATGTCCGGCTGGAAGGGACCTCACGAGGTCATCTAGTCCATGCCGCCATCTTGAGGCAGGACCAAACATACCTAGACCATCTCGGACAGGTGTTTGTTTGTCCAACGTGTTCTTAAAAAGCCTCCAGTGATGGGGATTCCACAACCTCCCTTGGTGACCTGTTCCCGTGCTTAACTAGCCTTAGAGTTAGAACGTTTTTCCTAATATCAAACCTAAATCTCCCTTGCTCAAGATTAAGCCGAGAAAGTGCTACTCAGGGCAAGCGAAGGATTCCCAAATTAGGCCTTCTGTGATCTGAACCTTAGAATATAGCCAAAAAGGCAACGAGCCAAATACAGTGGTAATTTGTAAATAGCGTAAGTGGGGGTGAGACTAAAGACGCCTACAATGGTTTGACTCACCCCCCAGGGGAGCGGAAGAGACGAGTGTAGTAGGAAAAGCAGCTGACGTGAAGCTGGAAAAAGGGTCAGTGACAGCAGACTCTGATTTACCCCTCCCTTGTTCTAGCTTTGCTTCCTTTACACTTGCCTGGGAACTCCAGCCCTATTCCGGACGTGCAGCTTGAACGAAGGCTGGGCAGGAAATAGTTAAAAACACACAATTCCCATCCCAAACTGGGACAAAAAGTTGAAATCTCCAAAATTTTCACCAACTGACACGGCAAAAAAATGTCGGTTCCAGTCAGTCAAAACCTTTGGATTATGGCCTTTTCCCTTTTTTTTAAACCTTTGGGGGGGGGGGAGTGTGAATTAAATTAAATTTCAAAACAAAAAGTTAATTTTGAACCAAAAACCAAAATGTTTCATTTCAAAATTGAATTTCAAGTCAGGAAATTCATCAGAACTGGCTCGTTCCCATCAACAAATTCAAGGAATCTTCATTTTCCATGAAAACACATTTTGTTGAAAAACTCCTGACCAGCAAACCACCTTTGGCATCATCCCTGAAGGTAGCCTCTCACTCTCAGGGTGGGCCCGAGCCCCCGATGGCGTGGATCTCCCCCTGTGGACTGCAGAGCTTACGCTGACCCACAGAACGACGACTGCTCCGTGTGCTGGGATTACTGGGAAAGGGGAGGAAGTGGGAAGGAAGCTTGTGCAAGATACGTACCATTCAGGGTGCCCAGCAGCTGCACGTTCACGAGCGTGACGATGTTGTTGACTACTGGACACAACTGTAAAAACAGCAAACACTCAGCACCTGACTATCTGCTAGCAGACCCACCACCAACTTCATTGGGAGTCCTTGGGGAAAAGGTGCTATTAATGTAAGGGCAGCAGGGTCTGGGCTTCTGTGAGGAAACCCTCAGAACTATGGAGAACAGTTTTCGTTGTGAATGTCCATCTCAGAGATTAGGAATTGTTCTCACACACCCCAGGAAGGGGACAGGGTCCGGGGGAGAGGTCCCAGCAGCCACCAGGCTGCCTACCTGCCCTCCGTACCTTTGCACAGGGTGGGACACCAAACAATGACAACAAAGAGAGGGAAAACGAGACAGGAAGAGAACTGAAATTCCACATGCCCCTGTAACCAATCAGTTCTGATTCTTCAGTGCCTGGGCTAGCAAACTTCACAATGAATCTAATAAAATAACAATCCAGGCCATCCCTCATCCGCTTCTCAATGCCCCTCTGGCAGGAGTGGTCTGTCTTTGATCTCACCAGGCTAGGCAGAGTTGTCGTAAGGGTGCTAGACACTAATCCATTCACTGATATTGGCAGCAAACTGCAAGAGAAAGACAACCAAGTATGAAAGCCAAAGCAGGCCCAGGGTGGCTGAAAACACAAGTCTCAAGAGAGGTACCAAGGGACTAGAACAGAGGTGGGCAAACTGCGGCCCACGGGCCACATCCGGCCTGCGGGACCCTTCTGCCCGGCCCCTGAGCTCCTGGCCTGGAAGGCTAGCCCCCGGCCCCTCCCCTGCTGTCTCTCCCCCGCCCCCCCCCCAACACACACACAGCCTCAGCTCGCCCTGCCGCCGGCACAATGCTCTGGGTGGCACACCTGTAGTGCTGCCAGCCACCGGTGCTCCAGGCAGCGCGGG